CACAAAGAGTACAGAATATGACATCTAATATATACAGAGTGCAGGAGGAAGAAACGGGAAAAAGAACTTTTAGATTGTGTTTGAGTTAGCATAGTAAGTGAGTTAAGTTAGACTGTTAGTAAAGAAGCTGCCCTTGAATCTTTCATAACCACGAACCTAAAGCCTGCCATGGCAATAAGTACATATCTATAGATTATCACCATAAATGTAAATGGACAAAATGCACCAATCAAAAGACACAAAGTTACTATTTGGATTAAAAACAAGAACCATCTCTATGCTGCATACAAAAGACTAACTTCAAATCCACAGACATACATAGACTAAAAGTGAAGGGATGGAAAAATATATTTCATGCATATAATAGGGAGAAAAGAGCAGGAATTGCAGTACTTACATCAGTCAAAATAGATATCAAAACAAAGAAACAAGAGACAAAGAATGACATTACATAAAAATAAAGGGGTCAATCCAACAAGAGGATATAAACATAAATATCTATGCACCCAACATAGGAGCACCTAAATATGTGAAACAAATACTAACAGAATTAAAGGGGAAAATAGAATGCAATGCACTCATTTTAGGATACTTCAACACACCACACACTCCAAAGGACAGATCAACCAGACAGAAAGTAATGAGACAGAGGCAAGGAACAACATATTAGAACAGATGGACCTAACAGACATCTATAGAACACTCAGCCCAAAAGCAGCAGGATATACATTCTTCTCAAGTGTACATGGAACATTTTACAGAATAGATCACATATTAGGCCACAAAAAGAGCCTCAGATTCAGAAAGACTAAAATTGTACCAACCAGCTTCTTAGACCACAAATGTACGGAATTAGAAATAAATTATGCAAAGAAAACAAAAAGCCCACAAACAAATGGAGGCTTAATTTCATACTCCTAAATAATTAATGGATCAATGACCAAATAAAAACAGAGATCAAGCAATATATGGAGACAAATGAAAACAACAAATCAAAACCCTAAAATCTGTGGATGCAGCAAAGGCAGTCCTAAGAGGAAAATATATTGCAATACAGGCTTACCTCAAGAAAGAACAATCCCAAATGAACTGTCTAAACTCAAAAGTAATTAAACTAGAAAAGAACAAATGAGACCCAAGGTCAGTAGAAGGAGGGACATAATAAAGATGAGAGCATAAATAAATAAAATTGAGAAGAATAAAACCAGAGAAAGAAACTATGAAACCAGGAGCTGGTACTTTGAGAGAATAAAATAGATAAACACCTACCCAGATTTATCAAGAAAAAAAGAAAGTGTACACACATAAACAGAATCAGAAATGAGAAAGGAGAAAGGAAAAATAACTACAGACACCACAGAAATACAAATATTAGAGAATACTATGAAAAATTATATGCTAACACACTGTATAACCTAGAAGAAATGGACAACTTTCTAGAAAAATACAACCTTCCAAGACTGACCAAGGAAGAAACAGAAAATCTGAACAAACCAATTACCAGCAATGAAATCAAACTGGTAATCAAAAAACTACCCAAGAACAAAAACTCCCTGGACCAGATAACTTCATCCCTGATTTTTATCAAACATTTAGAGAAGACCTAATACCCATCCTCCTTAAAGCATTTCAAAAAGGAGAAGAAAGGGGAATACTTCCAAACACATTCTTTGAGGCCAACATCACTCTAATACCCAAACCAGGCAAAGATACCTTGAAAAAAGAAAATTACAGACAAATATTCCTGATGAATATAGATGTAAAAGTACTCAACAAAATATTAGCAAACCGAATTCAAATATACATCAAAAAGATCATCCAACATGATCAAGTGGGATTTATTCTAGGAATGTACGGATGGCATAATATTCGAAAATCCATCTACATCATTCACCAGATCAACAAAAAGGACAAAAACCATATGATCATCTCAAGAGATGCTGAAAAAGCATTTGACAAAATTCAACATACATTCGCGATAAAAACCTTCAACAAAAAGGGTATAGAGGTCAAGGACCTCAACATAATAAAGGCCATATATGAGAAACCCACAGCCAACTTCATACTTAACAGCAGAAAGCTGAAAGCTTTTCCTCTATGATCAGGAACAAGACAAGAATGCTCAGTCTCCCCACTTTTATTTAACATAGTGCCAGAGGTCCTAGCCACAGCAATCAGACAACAGAAAGATATAAGAGGTATCCAGATTGGTAAGGAAGTACTTCAACTGTCACTCTTTGCAGATGACATGATATTGTACATAAAAAACCCTAAAGAATCCATTCCAAAGCTACTACAATAAATGAACTCAGCCAAGTTATAGGATACAAAATTAATATGCAGAAATCCATTGCATTCCTGTATACTAACAATGAACTAGCAGGAAGAGAAATTAGGAAAAAAATTCCATTTACAATTGCATCAAAAAGAATAAAATACCTAGGAATAAAACCTGACCAAGAAGGTGAAAGACCTATACCTTGAAAACTATAAGACATTCATGAGAGAAATTACAGAAGACACCAAGAAATGGAAACATATCCCGTGCTCATGGATAGGAAGAATCAATATTGTCAAAATGGACATCCTGACTAAAGCAATCTACAGATTCAGTGCAATCCCTATAAAAATATCAACAGCATTCTGCAACGAAAAGTACAAATAGTTCTAAAATTCATTTGGAACCACAAAAGACCCCAAATAGCCAAGGAAATCTGAGAAAAAAGAATAAAGCTGGGAGGACTATGCTCCCTGACTTCAAGCTCTACTACAGACCCACAGTAATCAAGACAATTTGGTGCTGGCACAAGAACAGACCTATAGATCAATGTAACAGAACAGAGAGCACAAATATAAACCCACACATATATGGCCAATTAATATATGATAAAGGAGCCATGGACATACAATGGGGAAATGACAGCCACTTCAACACCTGGTGTTGGCAATAACTGCACAGCTACATGTAAGAGAATGAAACTGATTATTGTCTAATTCCACACACAAAAATAAACTTGAAATGGATCAAAGACCTGAATGTAAGTCACAAAACCATGGAACTCTTAGAAGAAAACATAGGGAAAAATCTCTTGAATATAATAAACATGAGCAACTTTTTCCTGAACGCATCTCCCTGGGCAAGGGAAACAAAAGTGAAAATGAACAAATGGGACTATATCAAGCTAAAAAGCATCTGTACAGCCAAGTAGACCATCAGTAGAACAAAAAGGCATCCTACAGTATGGGAGAGTATATTCATAAATAACATATCCAGTAAGGGGTTAACATCCAACGTATATAAAGAATTCATGTGTCTCAACACCCAAAAAGCAAATAACTGGATTAAAAAATGGGCAGAGGAGCTGAACAGACACTTCTCCAAAGAAGAAATTCAGGTGGCCAATGGACAGATGAAAAGATGCCCCACATCACTAATTATCAGGGAAATGCAAATTAAAACCACAATTAGATATCACCTCACACCAGTTAGGATGGCCAACATCCAAAAGACAAGCAACAACAGATGCTGGTGAGGATGAGTAGAAAGGGGAACTCTCCTACACTGCTGGTGGGAATGTAAATTAGTTCAACCATTGTGGAAAGCAGTATGGAGGTTCCTCAAAAAACTAAGAATAGAAATATCACTTGACACAGTAATTCCCCTTCTAGTATTTCATCTGACAAAAACAAGAAACCAGATTAAAAAAGACATGCACCTCTATATTTATTGCAGCACTATTTACAGTAACCAAGACATAGAAGCAACCTAAGTGTCCATCAGTAGATGAAAGGATAAAGAGGTGGTACATATACACAATAGAATGTTATTCAGCCATAAGAAGAAAACAAATCCTACCATTTGCAACAAGATGGATGGAGATAGAGGCTATTATGCTCAGTGAAATAAGGCAGGCAGAGAAAGACAAGCACCAAATTATTTGCCTCATTTGTGGAGTATAACAACATAGCAAAACTGAAGGAACAAAATAGCAGCAGACTCACAGAATCCAAGAAAGAACTAGTGATTACCAAAGGAAAGGAGTGGGGCTTGAGGGTGGGGAGAGGGTGAAGGGTATTAAGGGGCATTATGATTAGCACACCTAATGTACAGAGGTCACGGGAATGCAGTATAGCACAGAGAAGACAAGTAGTGACTCCACAGTATCTTACTATGCTGATGGACAGTGCCCACAATGGAGTATAATGGGGGGGACTTGATAATACGGGTGAATATAGTAACCACAATGTTGCTTATGTGAAACCTTCATAAGATTTTATATCAATGATACCTTAATAAGAAAATTGGAAGCAGAGAATATAAATTACTGAGTTAAAAGAGATTACTGTGAAAAGAAGGAAGATATAGCGTGGATATTGGAAGGAACATTAAGGCCAGTAGAAATCAAATAGAGAAGACTTACATAACTGCAGTCACTGGAAGGTGATGCACTGAAGATGTTGGCATTGGTTAAGAAGAGAATGTGGGCCATGTCTTCAAATGCACAAGGCAATCAAAACAAGAGATTTGGAAACCGTAGCACTAAAGAGATAAAACTCTTCTCTTCTTTTGTGAATAAAGAGCTGTTAGCTAGTAGTTAATTATGGAGCACTAAGTAAATGCTAAATTTTTTACATGCATGATCACACTTAATTCTCACTGTGATTTCACGAGGTATGTACTATTATCATTCCCTTAACAGTTGAGGACACTGAGACTTAGGTTAAGTAACTTGCACCAAACTACACAGCCAGTTAATTGTAAACCAAACCTTAAACCCAGGTCTTTGCAGAACCTTTCTGTAGTGATGGAAAACAAAATATGGTAGTGAAAAAGTAGGATCTGCTCTGAAATTGGGACACTTATGGTTTCAGTTAAATATGACAAAGATATATGCTCTATTATTATGTGGAATAGACTTTACCTGGCATATAGAAGCATGTTGAATGAGTCTCTGCCTTATTACATCTTGTATATTTCTAAATTTTTGTCATCCCTCTAGGTTCCAGGTTTGAGCAAGCACAGAAAGAAATACATAACCGTGAAGATCTATCAGAGGAAATGGAAACATATGAATATACTTCATATGGAGACACTTACAAAGTACCAAACTTTTCTAGACTAACACGAGATTCCACTTACGGAGTGTAAATACATAGTACTTTCTTTTCTGATCTGTAGTCATATCCTGGTTCCATCAGTTATAGTTAGGAGTTTATTCTGTCTGGAATGACTTGTATTTTCTTGGCACAGAACCTAGTTAATTTAGGAAGACTAAATAGAAATAGAACATCAGACTGAATACAGCAGTTATGGTAAATATTGAAATTATTTCTGGTATTCTAAGAAACTGTGGTATTCTAAAAATGACAAAGATATACTCAGATGCAAAAATCTTCGGGTTGATTGATTTTCTTTTCTATTTGGGCATTCATGTTAAGCAGAACTCTTTTTCCATTAAGAGAAAAAGAAAAAGGGCAGTTAACAAGTTTTCCTTTTATCAGGAGAGCAAAAGCCTTACTAGAAGCCTGAGCCCTAGTCAACTTAGGCATCCTTGAACAAAACTGGATACCAGTAGTACTTAACACTACTAAACTGTACACTTAAAAAATGGTTACGTTTATAAATTTTGTTTTCTGTAAAAAAAAAAAGATTCACTAGTAGTAAAAGACCAGCTATGAACACACACTTACAGCATGGCTGTAAAACCAAACCCTAACCTACAAGCTTCTGGTCCTAGTCGGGAAGCACTTACCTTGACCTTCAGCACTGTGTGTCTGTGTTTTGTGCTTTCACCATGTAATGATGAGAAATGTCCTCAGACATTGCCATACATCCTCTGTGACGATGAGGACTGAGGAAGTAAAATCACCCCGGTTGAGAAACACTGCTTTATAATCAATCATACACTGTACTAGTGTAGAATGTATACAAGTTTACACATTAGTGTATACTTAAAAATTATGTGTGCTGTACTTTATGGACAATTATTTTGGAATAATTTTCATTATATGAAATTTTTACCTTACCAATTCTGAACTTAATGTTTGTAAAAATTTGACTATTTATACAAAATTAATTTGTTTTAGAACCTAGAGAAAAGACCCTGTAACTCTAGAGGACCGAATTTATTTACTTATTTACAAGTATTAGAATGTAAACCTCCACATTTAGGATATCACAGGATCTTTGTATTTGTCAAATGCCAGCATGTCTGTTAGATTTTCGAAATGTCAACTAGATCGCTCTCTAGGCTCAAAGATCATTTATTTACCTATTTATATGGGGATAATTAAGAAAAAGGACCAGACTATTCAGACTAACATGCAGCATACCAGGCCGGCTCTGTGTGGGAGTTTTCACAGTTCACCTGCACTGTAAACTGCCTGTCTGTCCTAGACTATGAGCTTTGTGACTCTAGGAAGAAGGGGGTTCCCCTCCTGGGACAAGTTTGCTATGAATCCAGTGACACCAAAGGAAAACAAGGGTGAGAGGCTGGGAAAAGGTTATTTTTCACAGCTCTCTGCTCTCCGTCCCTGGGCACTCCCAGGTGCGCCCTCTCTGGCCATGGCACCTGCCCCCTCTCGGCTCTCGCTCCCTGGCACAGCGGACCCTGAGTTGAGCTCCCAGAGCTCTCGCAGGTTCTCACAGTGAATGCTGGAGGAAAAAAAAAACGTTGTGCTTCCAGCAGGGGTAAGGGAAAACAACCATTTTGAAACAAGATTCTGTTCCTCCTAAACAGGTGTGACTTCAGAAGAAACCATTTCCCTACAGCCTGACCTAACGGGGTTACATCAGTCTAACTAGCCTTTGGGGAAGGGAAATACCAACTCCAGCTCCAAAGCTATCCTGTCCGACCTAAGGTGGGGAAACAATTAACTGTGAATGTCATATGACGGGTCAACTGACTCATGACAGACCTAATTGTAGAACACTGACCCCACCCCCACAGTTTATGCCACACCAATAAAATTCTGTTTACTGGAATTCTTCTTACCAATACATCCCAAAAATTTATATAATACAGGGCAAAACCAGTTTAAAGAAGCAGAGCAAGCATCAGAACCTGAAACAGATACTGTGGGTATGTTGGAAGCATCAAACCAGGGACTTTAAATAACTATGATTAATATGATATGTTAAAGGAACTAACGGAAAGGGTAGACAATATATATGTGGGGAAGCTGGGGTTCCTATGGCCAGGATCCTCACTGAACTTAAACCACCTGATGATGTAATTGGCCTGTTGCTAGGCCACACCTTTGGGCAATAAGCTATTACTGCTCTATATAGAGAGCTCAGCCCTGTGCCCCGGGTGGAGGCAGAGATGCTAGTGCTCCACCTACTGCTGGGAGAACAACCCAGGAATGAATCCTTTCACCCTAAGAACGTTCTACTGTCATTTCTTTGGTCACATTGAATCCATAGTGAACTTGCCCAGGGCTGAAGCCCACTGGAAAGACAATTGGTGACAGTTGGCAGGGTTCATTGTTGACCAAGGAAAAGGAGAGGCTGCCCTTATGGGAGGGGTGCTTTAGCAGGCTGCCCCTGTGAATGGGGAGACAGTGAATCATCCCCCAGTGGGTATGTGGTCTGAGGTGGCTTCCCTCCTAGAGGACTGGACCCAACCCCAGGACTGGAGGCAAGTGGAGGCGACACCTAAGGCAGTAGGGGTGGCCCTTGGTATAGTAAGAAGGTCTTTTGAGAGACAGAGTGCCTGTGAGGCAGCGGGAACTGTGGGTTGGCTGCTTCTCACAGTATCAAAAGTCTACAGAAAAGGACATGTACCTGAAAAAGACCCAAGAAATGGCAGCACAAGAACACAACCTGCAAATTTCTGTGGATTCACTGAAGGAAATGGCACTGATGCGAGAGGAGGCAGCACAAGAATGCCAGCAGCGAGGTGCCATTGAAGAGGTAAAAGATTCCTTACAGAATGTGACAGCAGTGCTGCCAGGTGCTCTGATGAAGGAAAAGGCCAGAGGAAAAAGACGAACCTCTGAGGGAAGTACAGGAGGAGGTGGCACAAGAAAGCCAGCTGAGAAGCCTTGAGGTGAAGGTAAGAGACCTTCTAAAGACTGAGCTGGCATTGCTGCGAGGCACAGTAGAAAAGGTAAAGGTTATAGCAGAGGAGGCACTCAGGGGAGGGGAGAGAAAGGTGCCATCAGCCCCAGAAATGAAGGAGCTGAGGGAAGATGAAGGGGTGGTGCTGGGGGCACCGACCCTCATCTATTGAAAGCACGGCCAGTGGTCGTAAGGAAAATAAAGACCCAGCAACCGAGGGTTCCCCAAGGAGAGGCACAGCCCCCCGGCACCCAGGTCGTGGAACACTCTATGGTCCGCCCCTATACTCAGGCTGAGCTGGTGGATTTGGGCTCCTGGTTTAGGCAGAAGCCCTCGGACTCAATATCAGTTTGGCTCCTGTGTCTGTGGGACTTAGGGGTGGATGGAATTGTCCTGTCTGGATCAGAGATTGGAAAGCTGGCTTTCCTGGTAGTTCAGCCCACCTTGAGGCAGTGGTTGAAAAGTGCACATCAGACCCCAGGGAGTCACTCCCTCCTCGATTGGCTTATGGCTCCACTTCGTGCTGTGTAGCCCAATCAGGGTGATGTACCATCCTCTTGATGGCAGATGTATGCTGAATTCCAACAGGTGCTACGAGAGCTAGGCATAAGAAATGCTATCTACAGTTCAGAGAAGTATGGCCCAGATGAAGAGATTTTCACTACTGGGATGAGAAATATTGTGCTTCAAAAGGCTCCCAAAACTCTCTTTGGGCCTCTAGAGGCCATACTTGCCCCTCATTCAGGGCAGCCTGTAAGCAAGGTGACAGATACAGTAGCAGACTTAGGGTAGCTTAAGCAATTAGAACACTGAAAGAAATAAGGTCTGCTACTCACAAGAATTTAAAGGCCCCGTGAACGTTACAAGAACCCAGATGTGGGTTGATTTAATATGGGCAGGAACAGATGGAAGGAAATTAGACGGTAAGTCAAACAGCATCTTAGTGGAGCTCTGGCAACAGCTGAAATCACAGCAGCAGTTCCAGCCATTAAGACCAAAGAGGCAGAGGTCAGAGACAGAGCCACGAGTCTGGCCTGTTTGCAAGACTTCCTGCTGGACAGTGAGCCAACCTCATTGGATCCCGCACAGGAAGATGATGGGGGAGCACAGTTCGACTTGGGAGAGGGTCGAGGTACCTGCCCTGAGGGACTAGGGTAGGGTCTGGAGGCCACATGTTGAAATAGCTATCCATTAGTCCCCAGTGAATATACAACATGTCCTGGCTCTGGTGGACACTGGGGCTGAATGTTCACTAATTCATGGTAACCCTGAGGCGTTCCCCATGACCCCCACTATCATAGATGGATATGGGGGAAAGGCTATCAGGGTGAAACAAGCCCAAATCTTTTTGGGAATAGGGTGTCTACCCCCAAAAGAGTATACTGTGTATATAACTCCCATCCCTGAGTATATTTTGGGGATTGATATCCTGCAGGGTCTATGGTTGCAGACCACTGCAGGTGAGTTCAGATACAGAGTACATGTGCTGAAGGCAGTTCTAGGGGACATGCTAGGCACCCACCCATAGCTTTGCCTGTGCCTCAGTGGGTAACTAATACCAAACAATACAAATTGCCTGGAGAGCATAAAGAAATTGGAGATACCCTCCAGGAACTGGAAAAGGTGGGTATTATGAAGCCCACCCATAGTCCTTTCAATTCCCCAGTGTGGCCTGTAAAAAAGCCAGATGGCTCCTGGCATATGACTGTGGATTACAGAGAACTGAATGAAGTCATACCCCCATGCATGCTGCTGTCCCCTCTATTGCAGGCCTGATGGATACCCTCAGCCATGAACTATGAACATACCATTATGTGGTAGATCTTGCTCATGCCTTCTTTTCCATTGACATTGACCAGGAAAGTCAGGAACAGTTTGCCTTCACGTGGGAAGGCTGGCAATGGACTTTCACTGTCCTTCCACAGGGATACCTCCAAAGCCCCACCATCTGTCATGGACTTGTAGCCCAGGACCTGACTACATGGGAGAAACCACCAATACGGTGCATCTGTACCATCATATTGATGATGTCATGCTCATGCCCAATTCTCTTTGAGATCTAGGAGGTGCAGCACCTAGACTGCTGCAACATTTACAGGAGAAAGGATGGGCTGTGAACAGTACCAAGATTCAGGGACCTGGTCTGTCAATTTTTGGGGGTCAACTGGTCAGGTAAGACCAAAGTTATACTGGAAGCAGTTATAAAGTCCAGGCCTTTCCTACCCCTACAACTGTAGCATTGTTACAGGAGTTTTGGGGTCT